AGGGCATACTTCCCCTATCTTGATTATCTCTTTATTCACTCAGCAAGCACTCCCTGGATTTTCAGAGCTTTCTTTCCTTTGTCCACTAGTCAGGAATTCCCCGGCCCTTTAGTGTTTTCTTCCCCTTATCAATAGTGCTGGGTTAACAGTTGGACACTATGAACTCAGAGGTATTTCACAAAATTAACAATTCCATGATAAAGAACAAAAATAAAGATGGACAGACCTTACTCTACATTACCTTAAATAAATCTAGAAAATACTTGCCCATATCAGAGTCGGCATGTTTGTAAGCACAAGAAGTTCTGACTGACATAAAGACAGATAGAACTGTGCCTATGTGTCTCCCTGTTACTTTAATTCCAGCAAGACCTACCTCTGAGAAGGATGTGGTCAGACACCCAAAGAGATCACTGTATAATATCCAGGTACTCTTGACAAGATTTTTAGACTTCCTCAAAATACTATCTTTGTACAACTCACTTCTTTAAAACAGAAAATTATATAGTTGACAGGAGGTGGTGATACTAGGGGCAGAAGCTGTGCCTATGTGTCTCACTGTTACTTTAATTCCAGCAAGACCTACCTCTGAGAAGGATGTGGTCAGACACCCAAAGAGATCACTGTATAATATCCAGGTACTCTTGACAAGATTTTTAGACTTCCTCAAAATACTATCTTTGTACAACTCACTTCTTTAAAACAGAAAATTATATAGTTGACAGGAGGTGGTGATACTAGGGGCAGAAGTACTGAATTTCTGAGTAACTCTACCTGTTCATCACATCCCTTATGGGCAAATTACAGACAATAATAGAAGCTTTTCCTGTTGATGGCACATATAACTATACTTGACCATTTTTCTTGCTCATCTTTTTCGAGATAGCCCACATGACTATTATTTTTTGTCTATGGTAGCCACCTATTGCTTGTAATTCAGTCACAACCAACAGAGACATTAATTCTAAGCAAGGCATCCACCATGAAGTTCGGCAATGCATTCTTACAACCGAGCAGTAACTGCATTAGACCAGACAAGAACAACATCGCTGTCCATTTACATCTAAATAGCCAGCTTGAACTGCTAGCAGTCAAGCCATGAAAACACATCAACATTCCAAGTACCTGCAACTTTTACAATTTAGATTTGGCATACTAAGAATGTTAGGGGGAGGAACAAGATTTACATTTTCAAGTGACACCACAACACATTCCGGAAACAAACAATACAGATGAGGAACAAACAAGAATTCCGAAACCAAGACAAAAACACCCCAATCCATGTGGCTGAATGCACGCTCAATTCGCATCAGTCAGAGGTAAGAAAGCACAGTGTATTCGAGAGAAATGCACACAACATTTGAGATTCACAGATAGGCTTTCAAGCTTCTGATTTTATTTGCTGTTGGCACAAGTATTAAGGAGAGCAGGAAATTACAAATATTTAAAAAACCCACTTCTTTTTTTCTTTTTACCTTAGAGAAATATCCAACTAAATGGCAGCCTTTCTCATCATTTTTTGTAAGGACATAGAAGAGGAATGGTTCAACATCATAATACAAGGTTTTGTGGTCCAGAAAGAGCTTAGCTAACAAACAGAGATTCTGACAATAAATTTTGCTCACATTTCCATCAACCTAGAAAAGCAAGACAAATGCAGTTATTTCCAAGACGCCAACATGTTAGGACAAAACAACTTAGCAAGTCAATAATAATCTAGAAGGAAAAATGAATAGTATGGTGTTAGAGGGAAAATAAACCCACAACAAACAAAGCACATTAAGGTTCAAGAAGAGAAGTTCCCCATTTTGTTGTTAAATAAGAAATCTCCAGTTAGTACTAACTTCTTTGCATTTTAAGTAACCTCTGAGTATCTGGATTCATTCAAGAAAGTAACTTCCCCTTTTAATTGTTCAAGATAGACTTACCTCCTTCACTTCATCCCTGGAATGAAAATTAGTGCGACTGGCAAACAAAAATGTACTAGTTAAAACTACATTAAACTGTGGTTTGCTAGAAGGCAGTGGTGTACAACTCAAACCCCCCCTCCGAATAATGAAGCATATTATGTTGAATCCTTAAGGTATAAGGCCAATAAATGAGTAGCGAATTACGTATCCATCACATCAGTGTTTTAGATAAATTAGACAAGACAAAATTTCCATGCCAGACTAAAACACTATTGAGTGAGAGAAGTAAATTTTCAGGCTAAATACTACAATTAGTCTAGGTATATTACGAGTGTAAAGAGTCAAGCTGTGACTCAGACAGCAACAGAAAGCCAGACATAGATGCAGATTTCCTGGATCAATTAGGTACTCCCAGAAAGGGAAGGCTCAAAGGCAACAGCATCTTTTAAATAATCTTCTTAATAGAAAGGTCTGCTTGTACTGATGTTCTCTGATAATGACAGTAGCTGTACTTCATGCACACAGAGAGACAAATAGTATGCATGTCGTGCTGAAAAAGAAGCCATATTCTACCCCAATTTGTTTTGAGTAACAAATCTGAGTAAAACACAAGCTTTTGGATATATTTAGGGACTTCAAAGTGAGTTCAGTAGTACAGTTGCATTAATTGGATTAAAAGAAAAAACATTTAATAGACAGCCACTGCTCCTAAAGGCATCAGAATAAACCTGCTCTTAAGAACCTACCAAATACATTAAGCTCTCACACAACACACCCCATTGTCTAGATGCTTTTTAATCCTTTTCACAGTTACTAGTAAGTGGGCAAATTAAATGTGAACATTAAGAAAGTAGCAATCATCACTGGGTAAGCCATAAGCCTGAAAACATAAATTATGTGAGCTATCTTTTCAAGTAAGAACATTTGTACAGAAATGTAAAAACCTTCTCAAATTTCAGGCAAACACAGCTTGTTCATCAGTTTTAAGTGTGAGAAGTGGGGAAAAAGAGGGACGGCAAGCTCAAAAGCAAGCATCTGTCAAAAGTTTCTTGGCTACAGCATAGTAGTAAGCTATGTCAAAGTCTTCTCTCAAATCTGTCAGTGTCATGCTCTGGGCAGAGGTACATAAATCACAAAATGTCAAACTTATTTCTATTTCTCTCAAAAACACAAAGCATGAAGGAAACCACAAACCCTTCTCATTCTGCCTAACAGAAAATGGGTTCACAGAATTTTTGAAAGGATCTATGAAGGACAGTAACCAATCACTAAGTTCCTATGGTAATCAGCAACAACTGGCATTAACCCTGGTACTAAAAAAACCAGAAACCACCACACTATTTCAGAAGGCTTAACATAAGTCCTTACTGAAGCAGCTGAAATAGCCAAAGGGGATAAAAGCAATGTAGGAGGAGTCAGGACATTGCTTTCGCATGTAACTTGTTTTCCATGTGGTTTTTGCACTCGTCTCCCATCTCCCCCTCCCCTTTCCCAGTGCTATATTTTATTTTATTAAGATTTTTTTTAATGTTGGCAGTAGTTAACGAAAACAAACTGAAAAGCGGGATTTGCCTATTGTATGCTGCACAGTTCTTAACACCTGCTAATAGAGAAAATACAAATGATTTTAGACAGACTAGGACAATTTTGCTTCTTGATAGGAAAAGAGAGTTAGGTCTGTTTACAACCTAAGTCTTTTGTTCACAGATCTACAACATTTAAAAAACCTGCTAGAGACAGGGAGGAAGCAATCCTGATGCAAATATCTGGGGGGGTTTTCAACTGCATGAACACAAACAAATGAACCAAATACTAAAGATCTTGTTCTAATTTAAGGACTTCAAGACTGTATCTACTATTCTTTGAACATATAATAGCAATGACCAAGCACAACACACATTTATATAATATGAAAACACAAATTTGAAGTAGAATCTGACATCTGCAATTCAGAAGTTATCAATATACACACACTGTTGAGAAACAGTCTCAGAAGTCTTAGTAACCCCAGTAGTCTTTTCTGTTAATACTATCTGCAACAGTGCTTGGGAAACAGAAATGTGAAGGTTAATGCATAGTTTTAATTAATGCAGGTATGTTATTTGAAACACAGAATTCTGTTGCCCAGGATATCTACAAACACTCAAACTTTGAAAGAAGTGATCTCCCAAGAGAATAATTCAGATCAACAAATCCAGGGTTGATCTTGTAGATATGTATTCTTTTGTAAATTAAACCTAGTGTGTTCTGACCTAGTTGGTCTGAAACTCACCCAGACAGGATGTTTTAGGGCAAGCTTCTCAAATATGCAAAAGGAAGACCAAAACACTTAATAGCTACATTTGTGTTTTCAGAACAATACACAAGTAGCTGCTTTGCTTGTGCTTATACTTGTGGAGCACCTACATTCTCATCTGTCTTCTCCCTACACCCAAGACACTCAAACAAGCAGAAACAAATGGGTGCAAGAGGTACTTTTGCTGACAAGGGCAAGGCAAACCAGACAAAGATGAGAACTGCAACGGAAACTAAGATACATGCTATACAAGTGTTTTAAGAGGTTGGCTAATGCATGAAGTACAAGTAAAGTATGAATCATGAAAGAACATGGCAGGGTAAAACTTGATTTTGCAGTATAAGAAGAACCCCCAAGAAAGTATTTAAGTATGTTAAAGTTTTCACTAGTTCTACAACTGGTCTGTAATGTCTACAAACTGGTTACTTCCAGAAGTTTACATTTTTGATACACCTACCTCAAATACTGAAAGGTCATTTCTTCTGTAGATTTCATTGGCTGGAGGGGGAAACCAGCCACATTTCTCTGAATGCCTTAACAAAATGTTTTTACTTTTCATGTATTTAAGACAGAATTCACACAGGTAAAGCTTTGGTAATCTGCATGAAAATTAGAAAGATATTTTATACAAGAATTTGTTACATTCTGTAAACAAAAAAGTTACAACAAATGACAAGTCCTCCCCATTTAAATATAAGGTACCGTAAGTAAATGCTGCTTAAGTACAACTGACTAACCTAACATAATATTTCAGTAAACGATTAAACATTCACACACCAGTCATCAGGAAAGGAAGATAAGAAAGGACGAGATTCAACTAATCACAGTGAACCTAATTCAGTAGAGTTGGGCTGTGGTCAGTTGTTTTGTGGTACAGCATCTGCTACATCCCACTTAATTCCCTCTTCCCACATTCCACCTAAGCTTTTGCTGCAGCCTCCATCAAAATAGGCACACTCATAGTCATACCTCAAACTTCACCCTTCTTGTTTCAAATGAAAAAAATTATTTTTCCTTATTTTGCACCTGGGGAAGGCTAGGAGATTATTTTTCTTTTGACTGTCTTCCAAACACTTGGGTGGGACAGCAAACTGTAGTAGGACTGTACTCCCTCACCTCCACCTAAACTATCACTTTACTTGAACACAGAAGTCTTTCCAGTCAGTTCACGTACAGGCAAAAGGTCTCCCCTTCCACACATCTCTACAACACAGGCAACACAGATGAGTACTTCTCTGGGGAGGATCCAGTTCAGACTACATACAAGTAACCCACACACCCTCTGTAAGACAATGGTAGCAAGTGTTCTACAAACCATCATAAACCGTTCCTTTGGATAAATTTTATAGCCCCTTACCTTCATTTTTAAGCTACTGACGCAGTGGAAAACTGCTGCAGAAATCAACTAGTCTGCAAAGTTTTAGAGCAGAGGACAATCTATCTGCTCTGAAGCTACTCGCACATCCTGGGATAACAGTCATGGTTTGCACTGCTCCAGTATTATAAAAAAGGTCATGAACAACATAAAAAGTAGTTTGAACTATTTCTCGTATGACGTAATTCCACTGCACTCATTTCTGAGAGCCACACTGCCTCCTACAGATGTCATCCCACTCAAGCCTCATACTAGTAATTATCCATCATTATGCTTCTATCTGGGATTAATTTACTTTTACTACTTTTACAATATGCCATAAATACCGGGAATAAAAAAGTAACTGAAATAAAAGGTTAACACTATAAAAGCAGAAGTAATAATAGGAAAGAAAAATGCTCTCTACACTCCCTTCACCTTTGATTTTTATTTTATTTATATTCATGATACATTCCCACCCTGCAAAGTAAAGGCAGTTTAGAGAAACACTATGCAACAGCATATTGGAACAGACCACATAACTTTGTTGCTTACAATAGCAGTAGAGCTTGAGAAACACAGATGTGTTCCATAGAGCCAATGGATTAATAAAACATTTATTTTTGCACACGCAAAAATGTGCAGAGATCTGCTGAGCACACACGCTAGTTCATGCTCTCTTGCTGACTCCAAAGTGTGCCCTGGTAAAGCCAGCCAGAAATGAGATGCTATTGCTACAACTTGCTCCCTTTGACTTTATTTACATAGCAGGACATCTCACCCAGTCCTCAGAAAATGGAAGGTAACAAATTCTGGATGGCAAACAGCATTATTTTTTCTAAATGGCTACAAGTTGGACATATGTCATTGCAATGGTTTAAGAAAAAAAACTCAACCAAACCCAATCAAATAAATGAAAACCAAGCCAACAAAACAAAACCACAAAGAAATAAAAATAAACGCTAAACAGAACCAAACCACAGCAATACACAGTGCATGCTGATGTTCATGCAGGACTAAGAAAAGAAAAATCAGTCTTTTAATTGCATCTTTGATTACAACTAGCTAGAAAAAAAAGACAAATCCTTGTTCTCACTTGTAATTGCAAAAGCATATTTACTTTTGAAGGTAATAAATTATAAACAGTTACAAAAGAGTAAGAAAATTATGATCATCACATTAGTAAAAATTCCAACCACAGATGGCAATCTTGACAACTTGCTACCTTGCGTATTCCTGTGGGTAAGGTGAAGAGTACCAGGTCTGGATCTCGTATTTTCCAAACTCAATCACTGAAGGGTATCGCCCACTTGTTTCACCAGTGTTTTTACACCCAATTTTCTGTCAGGTACAATAATAGCAAAATATTAGTTACAGAAAAAGTGGAAAAAACATTAACTTTACATAATCAATTTCACCCACGGAAGGCATGAGAAACATGAAGTATTCAAATCAGTTGCACAAGTTCTTCGAAACTGGACAGAGGACAGAGTTTTCAAACTCAAATACAAGCAGTGATAAAGTTTCTTTCAAGGTGCCAAACAACTACATGTGAAGTTAACTGGGCAGTGTTTACAAGTGGATTCAAATAAATGGTTCATGGCCCAGCCAATTAAGAGGCATAACTGCCTCAATTTCTCTTCTCCTGCAGCATCTAGCACGAGAACTTCTCTACAGTTCTGATTCAAACTCAAACCAGCCCTTTTGTCAAAACCAGAAAAAAAAGTATCAGCACAACCCTTCTAGACTCCTTGGAATTTACCTTGTAACAGTCAACAGTATTCTAACACACACAAATCTCAGCTATCATACTGCAGTTCATCTGATCAGAAAATGACCCTAAAGGGCTGGCAAAATACAAAAGAAAAAGAAAGGTGGGGAAAGCCCAAACAATTCCTATGTCACAAATTCTAGAAATCTTACCACCCAGCATTTCTGAATTGCACATAAGATAAAGAAAGCAAGAGGTCTGAGCTACTTCCATGAGTAAACAGAAGTGCAAGCTAATAACAAAACTGAATCTTGAAAGTAAAATTGAGTGTGTTGGTTAACATGCTCCGAATGAAGACTGTAAAAGTCACTGCATTGACCCATACGGCAGGTAAGGTCAGTTCTTGCACACTAAACCTGAAAAAAACTCAGTTTCATTACTGGGAAAAAAAAAAGAAAGTACAAAACACAGTCATTTATGATGCCATTTTCAGAACGTAGTAGTTGAAACAGTACATGTACCTACCTCCTGACCCAGGTTCTCAAACACACTGCTCTTTGCACAGAAAAGTAAAGATCTGATTTGCTAATCTGATTCAGTTCAAGTATTTTCACTGCCAGAAACAGTCTACAGTATTTAAACTCAAAGTGTAGTAAGTAATTGGGTAAAATGAAGTTATGAACTCATTTAACCTGGTTTTCTACCAAACAGTATTTTCTGGGACAGACTTTCCATAGCACCTGCTGTATCTGCAGAGGAAAATCATCAGGCACGTTCTTATAGATCAACATCCTCTCAGTCCTGACCAGGATGTCAGCTACTCTGTGTTTAATCCTGTAGTCCTGTGTCCAAAATGCTCAAGTATATCTTTCAAAATCTATCCTAAGTGTCACTTATCATCCAACCCATTCCAGCATGATGCCTCGTCTCCTATCCAGGAGAATGTAACTGCGTGTATAGTGTCTCCCAAATAAAATTCCCAGCAAGCATGATGCATTAGATCAAAAGGAATGTATTAAAAATTAAGATGAACAGACTACAAAAATTAACTGATCTTTTTTTTATTTACAGAAATAACCACATTTTATGCAACATGATTCTTACCTCCAGGGAAAGTTCTCGAGCCTGCTTAAATACTTCCAAATCCTCCTGTGTAACTGTGTCCTTGCTTCCCAACAGAAACACATCCGTATTTTCTTGTTTGATGCTTAGTTTGATTTCAGTATCTGTTATTTAAAACCAGCAAAAAGTTTATTCACAGACATGAAAGTTACATGTGCCTTACCAAAGTGATACTCCTAAATAGAATTGTAGCAACTATGGCTGTTGTGACTCCCCATTTTAACTAAATTTGGGATTACTAATTAACAGAAGTGAAACCTTCCCCCCTTCTTGTTTTGTAGTTTGCTGCTGCATGAGCAATTTTTTGGTACTTGCTTGTCTGCATAAGACTTTACAGTCCAGTTCTACTAAATTGGTTTTGAACCACAGGAAACGGAGTATATCCTATTGTTAGAACTACGCCACCTGACAAATTCCAGTATATTCTGGAAGGTAAAAATAAATATAAGAGATTAAAGTTGCCCTTAAAAGCTAGAGATCAATGCTAAGCTAAGTCTACAATCGAACATTGTATTTTTTTCTTAAATAAAAGTAATTACAAAAAAAGTAGTTCACAGCAGTACAGATCAAGTGTTGTGAATACTGTAGTATGATGGAACTGTTCATGGAAAAGCAATGGAGCAGAGGGAAATGAATTGAAATGCCCACCGTTGTAAGCACTGACAGCACACAATCATGATGACAGCACTACTGCCAGAGAAACGGCAGGGGAAGAACAAGGAAGTAGCATGACAAGTGGCTACTCATGCGGTACTACACAGCCATAAGCAACATTATGAAGGCATTTGGGGCTCCTAGTGTCACTACAGATGCAAAAAAATAATAAAAAGGTGGTGTGGTATTAGTCAGAGAAAAAAAAAAACAAAACCAAAAATGTTCTGGAGATTTAGTCAGCATTAGATAAAAAGGCCAAAGTTTTGTTGCTTTTGTATGAAAGTGAAGTAAGGACAAGAGAAATAGCTAAGACCTATGTGACAATATAAGAATTCTGGTTGTGGACGGGACGCAGGTTTGGTTGGCGCTTTGACCTTTGCTTACCATCATCCTGATCAGGTTTAATCCTTCCGTCTGTCAAGCTCCCCTTCCCTGGTGAGGGGGTCCCCATCTGAGGGGTCACTTTAAGCTTTAATCTGCCTAGAATCCTGTGCTTTTTAAGGAAAGCTGTTCTCTTGAGGTGAACGATCGTTTTAAAAGCATGTCCTCTAGACACACCCCATCCAGAGGCACAGGCATGAGAAATAAACCTATTCCTAACCTCTTTCTTTCCACAGAAATGGCTATTAGATGTTGATGTGGAAGATAATTGTGGCTTACAACACGAACGCTTGGGTGGTGCATAGCTTGGGTGACCCTTTTTTCGAGACTGTCCCTGAGTGGTATAGATATGAGAGAGACCATCAAAGAGTCCCTTTAGCTGACTGCTATTAGGAAGGCTACTACGGGAGGGTATGCTTGACTGACTGGAAGAACTTTGGGGAGAGTTAGAAGAAGTGGAAGTGCTGGATTTTTGCAAACTGGGGCTCTGACCAGAGATGAGGGTTGGGAATAGAAGTGAAGAAGGTGGAGGTTTTAGCTTTTGTGTGGTACCTGTAGCCAACACAAGAGAAGTGCATGACTGTTTCTGAGAGACCTTTTTCCTTGGACGATAGTGCTTTGAAAAGTCTATTATTTCACCTCGTGATCTGCGACCATCAGGTGATGGCGTAAAGAACTTAGTAAGGCCATCAATGAGCCCTTTGGTTTTCTTGTTAACTTTAAGTGTAGAGGCAGATATGTAGGTGGAGGTGGTGGTGATTTTGGTGGTGGCACCAGGCCGAGTGGGGTCTGTAACAGGCAATCTGCTGCTTGAATCCTTCACAGATGCAGCATGACCAGATGAAGGTGTGGTACAGACTTTAGTCTTTTGACCCCTACCAGGTGACCCCCTTCCTGTGAATGCATTCACGGATCCTTCATCACTGGTTACAGACCTAAGCAAAAATTTTAAAAATAAAAAAAAAAAAAAAATCAGCATTCAAAGTCTTTACTGCCAAAAAATACTAGAGTTTATACAAGTTACTTAAGCCATTTAAAATATTTAGAAAAATTTAAAGACATATAGACTTTGGAAATATATATCACACTGACATAACACCCAGCTATCCTTTTGCTTTTTCTTTTTTTTTTTGCTCCCACTCCCCCCCTTTTCTTTAAAAGATAGTCCACATATATATAAATGGAAGCAGCTGGGATAGCAAGATCTCCAAAGATTGAAGCCTTCCCACCTACTTTTAGGCATAGCCAAAGTGTGCTTCTTCAGAGAAAAACATCAACACATTGTGTCTGTACACTAAATGCTCCATCATCATAGAGCTTATTGTACACACAAAGCAGATAATATTTTCCATGTCAATACATTATTAACACAGTTAACTTCAGACTACATTCACTTAAACTTTAGTCTATTAGTCCTTTAAAGCAATACAGTCAATTTTCAAGAAACTGGTATTTTTTTTCACATTCTTGTTGGATTATGTATGTCAACACTAGCAGTAAAAATTACCTCCAAAGACTTAAAACCAAAAGGAGGCAATTTATGAGGAGCATTACAACAAAACCAAAGAAAGAGACTGTTTTCTTTAGAAATTCTAACAATAGTAAACCCCAAAAATAGCAAAGCAAAGAGCAAAGCTGTAACCAAGGTATGTTTGTAAAAAAGCCATAAACTAAACAAGCATAAGGTGGAAAGTGTTAAGAAGAAACAACAGGGAATCTTATTTAAATACTAAAAAGAAAAAGGTCATACTGAAAGGCAACATTTGTGACAGCTGAATTACAGGTTTAGCTCGTTGCTAATGACTGAAGAGAGGAACTACACTGAAGGATACACTGAAGAGTAATATATTTTAGCATATAGAAACAGAACATTTAGAAATATCTGCAGTAAAAGAAATAGCCACCAGGACATATGATCAAATCCATATAAAGCTATACAGTTGCATCACATGCCTTCTTTCATTCCCTTCTCCATCCTGCTCTTTGAAGTTAGCTTATTTACTTTGCAGCAGAAAGTTTTCTTCCACAGATTTTTGCCTTCTTAATTGAGACAGTGAAGTAATTAATTGCAACAGGTTACATCTAATTAGAGATTCAACAGCCTGGGGCTACCATCTGGTCTACTGAACTCCAAGGGCCCACTGCTTTAAAAATTAGCCCCTTTTCCACCCACACATCCTTAAATTTGGTTAGCTCCTAAGAGGCAACAAAACCAAAAACTTCTAAGCCTTTTGAATCCTTTGGTGTCCCAAGCTGATGTCTATCACAAGACTTACTCTCACTACCAGATGCAGTAATCACCACCGGTGCCAGAGGCCACCACACACCTGGTTTAAGTTACTCTTGCACAGTAAGTTGCCTGTGAAGGGCTTCCCACAGATGGTCAACAGGCAAAAAATTATTCCAGTAGTATTGGACAGATTTTCTTTGTACTACACAAGAACAAGTGGCATTGGATAACCTTCCTGTATTTCATGTGACCACACACATTTTATGTATGGCATTTATCTTCTGTACCCCACAATCACTTTTAAATAGGATTCCACAAAGAAGAGTCTCTTATCCTATCCTATCTCCTAACCACTATTTTTCAAAAACCAGATTACTTCATTTTATATATAAATTAGACACTGAAGTAATAGAATTGCAAATACAGTAACAGTATTGCAAATATTTATTTTACAAAGAGCTCCACAAACTTTCCTCCAAGATGCTCATGTGGCTCCTGTGCTACAAAGAAAACCTTTATGAAAATACTCATAATCAACATCCAAAACGAAAACAACTTCTGCATCCTTTAGCAAGATGTTTACTTTGAAAGTTGTAGCTTAGAATCTCAACAGCAAAATGTAACCATAAAACCCTCACAATGTTTCCAACCTTTCTTTAACATGTGAGGAAGGAGGAGAAACAGAATTCCTGCGTCAG